AGGCAAAATATGATAGGTACCAAAGAAGAGGAGGGACTTGGCAGTCCAGGTGGCTAGAATGAGTGTCTAGGTGTGGACAGATTTGAGAGTGTGGAGGAGTGGTGCCATGGAGGAAACAAAAGTAATGAAAACCAAAGGAAGTAGAGTCATATGGCACCTACAGGATGGACAGCCAGCACAGGAAAATAAGGCTAAATAATTATCTAGCCTCACAGTTTGTTTTGACAGGAAAACTCAATGTGCCCTCCAGATGCTCCAGAAATGGGATAAGGCACCAGGGAGGCTAAGCCGAGAATTTAAGCTTTAGCTCAGCCTTGGACTCGTTCTGTGACCTCAGATCCTCAGCTGGGTGTGCGTGAATGGTGCATTTGCAGCCTAAGGCCCTTATCAACTGGAGACTGTGGTTGCTAAAGCTGTGCCCTTCTCCCTCTACTGGAGCTCCATATTCCGGCCAGCTTTTGTTGCATAGATCCTGAGTGAGGGATGCTTAACCAGGGAAACGGGAAGGCAGGCATTAGGGAGAAGGGAAACAGTGTAGAGGACAGAGGGGAGATGACCTGACCTTTATTTCTTACCATATTTCAGGACTTTTTGCTCCTTTGACTGCAAAAGGAGAGAAAGAGAAATTAAACTTGGTGGTTTCAGAATGCTATAGTTTACCATTACTTTTAATGGTAAAAACTGCAATTACTTTTGCAATATTTGTGACATGCTTGATTTAGGATTTAGCAGTCTAAGCCTCCAATAAACTGTTTACATACTTACTTCTAATCTCATGGATTCAAGAATTACACCAAGGCCTTTGCTGTGTGGTTATAACTCGCTAAATAATTTCTTTTTCCCTTTAGTGTCTGAACCTCTTAGAGGTTTGCAGTCTTTATCATGTGCCTTTATGTTTTGCTAAATTAAGCTTTTTCTCCCTACTTCACCAAGTCACTTTAACACCTCATGCCATAGGTTACAAAATAGATTGCCCCATAAAACAATACAGTTTCTCATTCAGAATGGTGAGATTTGTCTTCACAGATATTTTTAACCAAAGGAATGCAATCAGAAGGAGGGATGTGATTATTCATTAGTCTATTATTACCCTCTTATTTTGTCTCCTGGCAGTGGCTAGGGAGCTTTAGCCCCATCTGTATGTGGCTGATCTACATGTGCTGAACATCCCCACAGGAAATAGCAAGGCTAGCTGATTGTTGCCTAGCCCTCGGCATGTGTGCCTTCTCTTCAGATGTGCAGTTTGGCTGTTGGTCCACCCTGAAGTGGGCTTGGGGTGCCCTTCCCTCAGATGTGATACTAACTTTGAATTCCCAATCAGCCTCTGAGAGTTTGAGCATTTGAAAGTGTGAGAAAGGGTGAGTTGGTTCACTTGGTAGCTATTCAAACTTGGAGTTTCTTTGGGCCTCAAGTCTAGTTTGGGGTATATCTCCTCCAGAATGGCCAATTAATTCCTTAAAGTATCACTCATACATGCCACTCTCTGCCTCAGGTCTTTCCATCATAGAATCACAGGATCAGATAATTTTAGAGTTAGGAGGAGCCTTAGAGATATGATTCAACTCTCTCCAAAGGGATCCCTACTATTATATCTTAGAGTCTGTATATTCTAAATATTTTTTCATTTTTCCTTTGGTATGGGAAACTTTGAATTTTGGAAAAGTTGGAAATTTAGCACTGCCTGCTGACTTCCTGCACCAAATCCAAACTTCAAGATGTTACAAAAGAGACAGGGAGGCTGAGCTATCAAAGGACCAAGAGTCATAGAAAATTAACAATTAATAAGCAGTGGCTTCCCCTGAATAACTGCAGGGCTGGAAAAGGGGATTGGGAGTGGTAGAGCCTAGATTATAACACTGGACGTTTTCTTTTCTGAGAGGCTGCCCTCTTCTATCTCCATCTTATCTGGAGGAATACAAACTTTCACTTTGTTCCTGGGCATATATTACTTGCCAAGGGAATTAAAAATAAGCATATGAAAAAAATGAAAAAAATATGAAAAAAATTCATTTCAGAAGCATGAACAATAAAAAAGACAGAGTAATCAGAATAACTTATACCAAAACAGTGTAAATAATGGAAAAGACAAATAGGAATGTGAAGTGAAAATAGTGAGACATACTATGTTGGGGCAGGTAAGGGAATATTATTTGGTACCCAAAGGATGGCAATTTGGCAGTATCCAAAGAAACTTAAAGTAAATATACTTTCGACTCAGCAATTCCACATCTACAAAATTAAGCTATTGACACTATTTTGGAGCCAAGACATGTGAAGTGGGAATTTGAGCTGAAGAAAGAATGGGAGCAGAGCTAAGCCAAGGGATGTGTGCACAAATGGTCACCTGGGATATGTCCTATGGGCTCCAGTGTTCATAAGTAAAACTCTGCTGAGCTTTACTGGGTTGAGACCAGCTTATTCTTACTCTCTAAACATACCACCAACCTAAAGAAGGATGTATACACAGCTCTGAACATTTTTTGGCTTCAGAATTCACGTGGCTCTACAGAAAGGTCTCCTCTTTATCTTTGAATTCTTATGATCTCCTATATTTAAAGAACATCAGAGAAAATATGAAATAAGATCTCAAAATTCTGTTCTCCATAGAAAACCAATATTAATGGATTGTAAGACAATATTAAGATGCTAAAACTCCATAAATTTATCTACCTGTTCAATGAAAACCCTGTCAAAATCCAGATGCCTTTTTTTTTTTTTTCCAGAAACTGACAAGGTGATTCTAAAACACATATAGAAATGCACAGGGCTCAGAATAGCCAAAACAACCTTGAGAAAGAACAAAGTGGAAGGACTCACACTTTCCAACTTCAAATCTTTCTTAAAAGTAGCATAATCAAGACTATGTGGTACTGGCATAAGGATAGAAATATAGATAAATAGAATACAATTGATAGTCTAAAAATAAACTCATCCACTCATAGTAAATTTGTTTTTGATGAGGGTGTGAAGACAATTCAATGGTGAAAGAAAAGTATTTTCAACAAATGGTACTAGGACAACTGTAATTGTATATCCACATACAAAAGAGTGAAATTGTATCCCTACCTCACACCACACACAGAAACAACTTAAAATGGGTTAAAGAACTAAATGCAAGGCTAAACTATAAAATGTTTAGAAGAAAATATACAAGTAACCGTTAGTGACTGTAGGCAACGGTGTTTTAGATATGACACTAAAAGCATTAGGAACAAAATAAAACAAAAAAAACCCCAGATAAATTGGACTTTATCAAATTTAAAATCTCTTGTGCCTCAAAGGACACATTTAAAAAGTGAAAATACAACCCACAGAATGGCAGGAGTATATTAGCAAGTCATATATCTGTGAAGCATCTAGTATTCTAGCATCTAGAATATATAAAGAATTTTTATATTACAACAATAAAAGACAAATAACCCAAGTAAAAATGGGTAAAGCATTTAAATAGATGTTTCATCCAATAAGAGGTACTAATGGCCATTAAGTACATGAAAAGATAACATCATTCGTCATTAGGGCAATGCAAATGAAAACCATTTATACCCACAAGAATGGCTATAATAACAAAATGGAAAATAAGTTGATGGCGATGTGGAGAAGTTGGAACCTTTATACATTGCTGCTGAAAGTGTAAAATAGTACAACCACTTTGGAAAACAATTTTGCAGTTTCTCAAAATGTTAAACATAGTGTTATGATAAGACCAAATATTTCACTCCTAGGTACCTACTCCAGATAAATGAAAACATATATTCACATCAGCAAGTACATAAGTGTTCATAGCAGTATTATTTATAATAGACCAAAGTAGAAACAACCCAAATGTTCATCAACTGACAATTAATGTTTTAAATGTTATACATCCATACAATGGAATATTACTCAGCCATAAAAAAGAATTAAGAATTAAGTACTGATACATACTTATACTAAATGAAAGAAGTCAAATATAAAGGCCACATATTATGTGATTCTGTTTATATGAAATGTCCAGAATAGGCAAATTCGTAGAGAAAGAAAGATCAGTGCCAGCACCTATAGAAGGGTGGCATGGGGGAGGGAGTGGGGAATGACTGCTATGGGTTTGGGGTTTCTTTTTGGGGTGATAAAAATGTTGTTTCCTCTGAACTGGGGGCTTAATCTAAATGATTTATAGGGTCTTTTCCACATCCAGCTTCCAATGATTCTATCAATCTTCCTTAATGAGTAACAATTTCAAAAGAGCTCTAAAAATCAGCCCTTGTACCTTTGGTATCTGTTTTAAGGCAGATCTATTTTTTGAGTATTGGCCATTTTAATCTATTTCTATTCTTATAAAGAACAAACTCTGATTTGGTTAAATTCCTGAGATTTTAATTTCCCAGGAAGCGTTCTGATTGATTGTGAACTATGTGGAAAAACCAAACCTGAGGTACTTTGTGAAATTGGGCATAACTGTAAGTGAGGAAGCCGTATTCACAAGGACTCAGTGAAGGAAGAGACATGTGTAGCTGTTGGCTTTTTAAGCCAAATTATGAACATAAATGATAGTGGCATAACAATAAAGGGTAGAGAATAGTGACTATGTAAATTTTTGAGGACACTAATTTTGTATAAAGCTTATGACATAGTGGTTAAGAGGTTGGGTGATGCAATTGCTTTGTCTGGGTTAGTACTGTGGATTGATCTACCTCTTACCAAGACATTTGGTGCTTCAGTTTCCTTATCTGTCACGTAAGTGTAGTAATTGTACCTCCCTATAAGATTGTCGTGAGAATTAAATTAGATGACACTTGTCAAGCAAGAGAAAGGTGTTTGGGCCTTAGCCAGGGCTCACCAAACATTAGCATTAATATTTTCAACAAATACTCCAAATGCTTGATGAATTTTATAAACACACTTGGCACTGCTTGACAAATACTTGTTTACAGTGTACCATGCTCTAATACAACTATCTTCACAGTTATTTAATGGCAAAAAATAAAAATTTTCATATTGTAAATAATTCTTTTTTGCAGAACAAAAGTGAAAATCTTCACTAACAAAATGAAGATCCTGCTAATTATATTTGTCCTAATCATTTGGACTGAAACATTGGCAGACCAGAGCCCAGGTACCAGTATATTTTATGTTTATTATTATTTAGGAAATATTTTTATATCTCAGTAAACTTTAATAAACAGAGGGAAATAATTTATTTACTAAAAATCAAAGTATGCAGCATTTAGTAATTGTTATACAATATCAAACAAACTTAACTTGTCAAAGACAGCACAAAGCCATGAGAAAAAGTCATGAGTTATGTTGCACCTGGCTAGAAAAATTCAGTTATCCATTGATTTGCTTCAGTCTCAATATTACATGTCTCCACGGATTGAGTCAGTCCATTTGTTTATAGATCCATTTGAATATTGATCTTATAAATGAAAGAAAAGGAACCCCACACAGAAACAAATTCTAAGTATTTCATGACTAAACCATTGCCTTCCTTTCCTTTTACAAGCATGAAATATGTATTTACACACAAACACACACACATAGTCATACATCACTTAACAATGGGTGTACTTTCTGAGAAATGCATCATTAGGCCATTTTGTCATTGTGTAAACATCATAGAGTATACTTATACCTAGATGGTGTAGCCTACTACACACCTAGGGTATATGATACAGTCTATTGCTCCGAGGCTGCAAACCTATACTGCATGTTACTATGCTGAATATTTTAGGCAAGTATAACACAATGGTAAGAATTTATATATCTAAACACATCTAAACACAGGAAAGGCAATACCTTGCACTGCCACATTATGACAGCTATGATGTTATTAGGTGATAAGAATTTTTCAGTTCTATTATAATCGGTTTTTTTTTTTTTTTTTTGAGACAGAGTCTCACTCTGTCACTCAAGCTAGAGTGGAGTGGTGCAGTCTCGGCTCACTGCAACCTCTGCTCCCTCAGCTCAAGCAATCCTTCTGCCTCAGCCTCCCAAATAGCTGGGACTACATATGCATGCCACCACACCTGGCTGATTTTTGTATTTTTTGTAGAGACAGGGTTTCATTATCTTGCCCAGGCTGGTCTCAATTTCCTGGGCTCAAGTGATCCTACCACCTTGGTCTTCCATAGTGCTGGGATTACAGTGTGAGCCCAGCCAGCTCAATTATAACCTTATCAGGACACTATCATATATGCAGTCTGTTGTTGACTGAAATGTCATTACATCATTGTGAAGCACACTACTGTGGTGTGTGTGTGTGTGTGTGCACATGTGTCTGTATAGGAAAAGAGAGAGAGAATGCATGAAAGGCAGGTTTTTCTACTCTATTGTAATTACTAAAAACATCATTCAAAGAAGCATTTTTAACTGTGCATTGTCACTGTGTTACTCTAAGATTTCCTGATGAATTTCTGAGTTACTTTGAAAGAGAGAGCCACTTGTTAGACATTTACTAGCACATTACTAATTTCAAGAGCAGCATGGCTGACCATGACTGCTAAGGTAGATACTATTGGCACCTCCCTTGCCAGACTTTTCTTGTCTGGCTGGTGCACCTACCTCCCAGCTACTGGGAATACTGCTGGCAACAGCTCATGGCTGTGCCCCATTTTCTCAGGGGAACTGTTCTCAGCTTTCCCACTTAACCAAAAAGTTCTGCCTCCAACCCTCTGCTCCTCTCCAACTTCTGGGGACGGTCTGCAGCCAATGACTGACTAATAGGATAGCACAAAAAACTGGCCCTCTTGCCTCAAAGAGGGACAGCTCTGCTGTAATTTAGGCTCCAGAGCCCCTTGCAGAACAGGCCAAAGCTAGACCTTACCTGATGACATGCCCTTCTCTGCTTGTTCCCTGTCCTGTCCTGTTTCTCTTACATTGCATGCCCTCAATCAAGCACTTTCATCTGAAATCCTGGTCTTAGACTGTGTTCTGCCACCTGAGACAATTGCTTACTCTATAATGTTTCCAAAAATTGCTGTAGTCCTCAGACTGCTTTGGCCCATTCTTACACTGCTATGAAGAAATACCCGAGACTGGGTAATTTACAAAGGAAAGAGATTTAATTGACTCACAGTTCCCCATGGCTGGGGAGGCCCCAGGAAAATTATAATCATGGCGGAAGTAGAAGCAAACATGTCCTTCTTTACATGGTAGCAGGAGAGAGAAGTGCCAAGCAAAAGGGGAAAAGCCCCTTATAAAACCGTCAGATCTCATGAGAACTCACTCACCATCACGAGAACAGCATGGGGGTAAGCACCCCCATGATTCAGTTACTTCTACTGGGTCCCTCCCATGACATGTGGGGATTATGGGAGCTATAATTCAAGGTGAGATTTGGGTAGGGACACAGCCAAACCAGTCCAGTCAGGGACTTTCTGGGTTGGGACAAGATCAGAGTTTGGGGTTCCAGAACTAAAAAAGAAAAGAAGTTTATTGTCTCTTGTATATCTGTTGGCTAACTTTACTAAAGCCCTTTTGTTTGACATTTTAGCAAAGGCAATTATAGTTTCTTCTGTTTGACCTCCAAAAGATACTTTTCTTGGGATTCTGATGTATACTTAACACTAGGGCATAGTCTTAAATAAGTATTGTGATGTAAAATATAAAGGCTGAATGATAACTTTGTTTTTGCTTGTTGTTATTTTATTTTGATAGGGCCAGGCCCTGAGTATGCAGATGTTGTGTTTCTGGTGGACAGCTCCGATCACCTGGGACCTAAGTCGTTCCCATTTGTCAAAACGTTCATCAGCAAAATGATCAACAGTCTCCCCATGGAGACCAACAAATACCGTGTAGCCCTGGCCCAGTACAGCGATGAGTTTCACAGTGAATTCCATCTGAACACCTTTAAAGGCAGGAGCCCCATGCTGAACCACCTCAAGATGAACTTTCAGTTCATTGGCGGGTCCCTGCAGATAGGAAAGGCTCTTCAGGAGGCTCACAGGACCTATTTCTCTGCACCCACAAATGGGAGAGACAGGAAACAATTTCCCCCAATTTTGGTGGTCCTGGCTTCGGCTGAGTCTGAGGATGAAGTGGAAGAGGCTTCAAAAGCCCTGCAGAAAGACGGGGTGAAAATTATCTCCGTGGGGGTGCAGAAAGCTTCTGAGGAAAATCTGAAGGCCATGGCCACGTCCCATTTCCATTTCAACCTTCGGACAATCAGAGACCTCAGCACATTTTCCCAAAACATGACACAGATCATCAAGGATGTAACCAAGTACAAGGAGGGAACCATCGATGCTGATATGCAAGGTAAGGAAGCCCTTGGTTGAAGAGGTGGCTGATCCCCAGGTGGGTCTACATTTGTCCACTCTCACCTCTTGCAACTCATGTTAGGTTTTCATGATTAGCCATGTTGAAGTATTGGAAACTTCTACACATCATACCTGCTCACTTCTGCCTTTGCTTGTGCCATTTTTTTCTGACAAGAGCTCGATCTTATTGCACTCCTTTGTTTTCTTATAGCTTGAATAACTCCTGTCATGACATAAATCTCATCCCTACGTCCTTTTCCTCTTGGAATCTTTCTAATTTCTTTTTGGGTTTCAGTTCCTTGCACACAGCTTATGACAGCAGCACTTTCCGTTTAACTATCTATTTCTGTGTTTGTCCTCCTTTCCTTCCCCACCACCACCAAGCAAGAAACAGGTAGCACATGAGGGCAGGATTGACAACTTATCTCTCTATCCTTTGTGCCAAGCACAGTGCTTGACAATGAGCTGGTGTTCTATTTCTTAATGAATTAATACATGAGGATCTTATAGATAAAGAAATAGGATCATTGTCTATTCTCTTTCCTTCACAGTCTTGTTACAGTATGAGGCTCACAATAAATATTCAATAAATGCTTGTGAACTGATACATAGTGATACTCAGTGAGAAGAATGATAACCTTAGAATGAGACACTATTAGTACATGTTCATATTTTGTGTTCAACCAGGAAGAAGAGGGGATGCCCTCAGTGGTGCAGTAATGCAATGCAGTGGACTGCATTCTGCTGTGTTGAGCCCTGCATCTGCTGTGTTGTCTCATCCTGGACTTTTAGAGTTTAGGACCAAAGACTTTGGAGTCAGGAAGGTCTGAGTTCAAACCCTGGCTTGGCCACTTAGGACATTGAGTCCCTTACTTAACCCTGAGCATCAGTTGCCTTACCTGTAAAGTAAGGATAATAGTGTCTACCATATAATATGAGTGAGGTGGCTTGTATGGCATTTGGCACACTGTTTACTGTTATTAATAGTAACAACTATTTGCAATCAATACTGACCTGAGAAGGTCATTCTTGGAATTTGTTTAGCTAACTGTAGGGGATTCAGAGTAGATTGGTAGATTTATGAGAATTATTTTTAATTCCATAAATATTTTTGAGCTCTCACCAGGCACCAGGTACTGGAGGGATAGTGATAAGTAAGACACGCTTTCTGCCTTCTCAGAACTCACAGATGGGTAGTTCTTGGCAAGGTTGAGCTTATCTCTTAGCTAGCTTTCCACACCTGCAGTTCATCCACCTGTGCTTGAAGTCTATGTTTTATGTGAATTTGGCATACTTTCCCTTAGATTCCAAATTTGTATAACCAACTGCTTACCTGGCATCTCCTCTTCAATACTCAGTAGTTTCTCAAACTTACCATGTCTGAAACAGAACACAAATCCCCCCTGTAACTTGTTTTTCTCACTATCTTCCCTGTCTTGAAAAAAGACACCACCACCATTCACTCAGTCGTTCAGGCCAAAAACCCAGGATTTTTCACCACTTCCTCTTTTGTTATCAATACTCACATCCAGTTTATCCAGCTTTCTGTTCTACCTCTAAGTCATGTATCAAAACTATCCTTGTCATTCCATCTTAGCAGCTGTAATACTTGCCCAAGAATCCTTATCTCTTTCCTGGACTAGGACCATTGTTTCTTAATTATTATCCCTGAATTCATTATTTCCTCTCAGCAACTGGAGTGATATTTAAAATATTTAAATAAGATCATGTGACTTCCAGAATATCTGGGCCGTGCTTCCCTCTGGCCTTATCCGTCAGTGTTTCCCCTCACTCATGGACTCCAGCTACTCTGGACTTCTTGCTTGTTCCCACCTCTGGCCTCTCTATCTGCCAGAATTCCTCTTCCTTCAGAACTCCACGTGGCTGAATTCCTCTCTCCAGTCATTTCTCAACCCATATGTGATCCTCTCAGAGAGGCCTTCCCTGATTTCTTCATGTCTCAGGTAAGTTAACCCTCCTTTAGCGACAGTGTAGTTAGTCAAGTCACCTGTTTCATTTCCTTGCTAGCACTTATTACTATGTGAAATAATACAATCTAGTTATCTGCCCTCCCCAGAGAATGTGAACTTCCTGTGGTCAGAGATATTTCTGCTAACTTATCCCTGCATCCCAGTTCTTGAGAGTGGTGGTGGCAGTGGGAAAGGTAGCGGTGATGGTGGACATGGTGGTTCCTTCACTTCACTAGCAGTGAAGGTAGTGGTGGCAATGGTGGTGGTGGTGGTGGTGGAGGTGGAAGTGATGGCAGTGGTGGTGGTGATCATACCAGTGGTGATGGTGGTCATGGAGATAATAGTGGTGGTGGTCATGGGATATGGTAGGGAAATTGGTCAGAAGCATTCTTCAGACAGAGGGAACAGCACATGGAAAGCTTTTGAAGTCAACGACCTTGTAAGTCTTATTTAGAATTTTGATCTTTTGTTCACTAAAAGAAAACAATGCTGTCTGCATCCATCATGACTACCTCTATCCTAACTAATGTGCTTGACAATGTAAAAAGTACCTTTCTCTCTCTGGGCCAGTGGTGTATAAAACATAATCCTCACACTTTTTCTCTCTCCATAGTTCCCTTCCCCATATCCTGTCAGAAAGACTCACTTGCTGACCTCGTGTTCCTGGTGGATGAGTCACTTGGGACCAGAGGAAATTTAAGGCATCTTCAGACCTTCCTGGAGAACATTACCAGCTCCATGGATGTGAAGGAAAATTGCATGCGACTTGGACTGATAAGTTACAGCAGTAGTGCCAAGACTATTTCTTTTCTTAAATCAAGCACAACCCAATCTGAATTTAAGCAGCAAATCAAGAATCTTTCCATCCAAGTTGGGAAATCCAATACAGGGGCTGCCATTGAGCACATGAGAAGAGACGGCTTCTCAAAGTCATATGGCAGCAGAAGAGCACAGGGAGTGCCTCAGATTGCAGTCCTGGTCACCCACAGACCATCAGATGATAAGGTGCATGATGCTGCACTGAACCTTCGGCTGGAAGATGTTACAATGTTTGCCTTGAGCATCCAAGGGGCTAACAATACCCAGTTAGAAGAAATAGTGTCTTACCCTCCAGAACAGACAATTTCCATGCTGAAGTCCTATGCAGACTTAGAAACTTATAGTACAAAGTTCCTGAAAAAACTCCAGAATGAAATATGGTCCCAAATTTCTACTTATGCTGAACAAAGGAATCTTGATAAAACTGGTATGTTTTTAAAAATACTTTTCTAATTATAAAAGTAATATAAGTGGTTACCTAGGACTGAGCAGGCTGGGGGAGGGCAGTAAGGATCAACTGTAATTGGATAAAGGAACTTTCAGGAGTTGTGGAAATGTTCTAAAGCTTGATTGTGGTGATGCCCATACAACTTCAAACATTTATCAAAATCATCGAACAATACACTTACAAGAGATCAATTTTATAACATGTAAATCATACCTCAATAAAATGTAAAATATATGTTAATTATAAAATACCATAATAGTATGGCTTGACATACAGAAGAAAACAGAATCATGTGTCAGAATCATCTGACACATAGAATTCTGAAAACAGAATTCTATCTTCAGATAAAACCGTTAATACTTTTCATGTCTTTAGTCTCTTCCATCCTTCTCTCTTTCTCTCCCTCCCTTCTCCCATCCCTCCACCCCTCTCTACCTCTCTGTCTTCCTTTCATTCATGCACACACAGACAAACACAGAGTTTTTAAAAATGATATCACATTGTATATATCAGTGCTGTCCAACAGACCTTTCTGTGATGCTGGAAATGTTCTTTATCTGTGCTGTCCACTAGGTCAGCCACCAGCCACATGTGGCTACTGAGCACTTGAAATGTGACTAGTGTGATGGAGGAACTGAATTTTAAATGTCATGTAGTTTTAATTCATTTTAACTTTTAATAGCCAGGTGTGTCTAGTGGCTGTCATATTGAACAGTATAGGCATAGAGAGTTAGGTAACTTTTATTAGTTACAACTATATTTGGGTGTAACCACAGAAGAAACCAAAATTACAGTGATTGAAACAGGGTAAGATTATTTTTTCTGTTTCACAAGTAAGTCCAGAAGTAGGCAGACTAAGCTAGTCTGGTACACCACAGTGTCAGAGACCCTGTCTTTTTCCACATTATTTTTTGCTGTTCGTGGGCTTAGTTCCTAGGATCGTTGTCCAAAATAATGGCTCCAGGCATCACCCTCACATCCAGAAAGCAAGAAAGACAAAAGGGAAGAAAAAAGGGGCAGGCCTCTTCACCTTTTCTTCAAGGATGCTCCTGAAAGTTATGTGTACCATTTCTGCTTACATCCCATTGGCCAGCACTTGGTCATATGTCACACCTAAGTTATGAAAATGGTAGCTGGGAAATGTGACCTTTATTTGGGAAAGCCAAGCACCTAGGTTAAAACTGGCAGTTCAATTGGTGTAAAGAAGGAGAAAATGGATATTGGAGATAACTAGTAATATCTGCCTTACCCACTTTTCCATCATCTTGATATTATGATCATTTGTCTGTTTCCTTAAATATTCTTTTGAAACAATTCCTTTAGGTTGAGAAAAATATTCCATATAATAGATATACCATATTTAAAAAAACATATCTTAAATTGTTGGATATATAGGCCAATGTTTTGTTTTTGTAAAAGTCTTGCAGGGACATCCTTTTACCTGTATTTTTATGCACAATCATGGTTATTATCTGACACTTTGATCCTATTTTTTTCTTCTATCATTCCAGTGAAGGATCTTCTAGTTAAGATTCTTTGTGAATCTGCTATAGTTTTACTGAGCTCTTTTCAAAAGTACATGCCAAGAGATACTTAATATGACTTTGAGCTTATCTAATTCTGAGATATCTGCTGTCTTCACACATTTTCTCCATAGAGAAAATGCTTCCAGGCAATTGAAACTGGAATTTGGCAGCACGTAACATGGAAAGGAATTTTAATGTTCCAATGATATTAAAGGCTAATTTTAAACCAGACCAGCTTCAATGTAATACTGGTATTAGGGCATAGAAGGGATGTGTGGCATAGTCTCTCTCAGGAGTTTGCAGTGATGCCACAAAAAACTATTATTGTCATTACAGAAATTGTAAATGGGAAGATGTGGGACCAAAGCTAGGGTACAAGGCCTCACTATGTAACTCCTTAGTAATCCAGTTGTTTTAAAATGTTGGTTCCTGACTTAGGTTGGGCTTCTCAGAAGCAGATGCCAGGAAACAATTCACATGAAATTGATATATTAGGAAGCGTAACCAGGAAAAAAAAAGGAAATTGGTAGGAAAATGAGGAAATGGGAATAGGAAGGAAAGGACAACAAGAAAAGTCCCATGGATAGTAATGTTAGCTCAATTCCATGGTGTCATTCTAGAGATAGTGTATATCAAACATCAGAGTTGTCCCAGGCAAGGAAAAAAAAATATGTAACTAGAGAATTTACATTTAAGCACATGCAGGGAATGTAAATTTCTGGACACTTCTGGTTCAAGTGCCAGGCAAAGAAGTTTCCAGAAACTCAGGGGCAGCTCACCCCAGATATAGCATTTGCTATTGGGAGTGAAAGCAAAGCACCAGCAGTCAGTTTGCATAAAAATGGTAAGAGATTTGAGAAAATATAGGCAAAAACACCAACAGTGTCTGTTGTAAACTTAGTCTTTTGAGGAGCTTGTTAATAATTCAGTTGCCCAAGCATCACTCTAAAACTACTGGATTGGTCTCTGAGGGTAGGGCCTGGGCCCATGCATTTTAGTGAGCTCCCTAATGAATTCAGGCTAGCAACATTTAAGACCTACCACCTTAGTGATGTTCCTGTGGTCTAGAGTGTGGTGGCCAGCTTTGCAATTTCAGAATGATCAACGCTCAGAGAAAAATATATATCTGGCTTAGTCACTGCTATATCCACTACATCTGACACATAGTAAGTGTTCAATTTTTATTCCATAAAACTTCATTAAATCAAGGCTAAATTCACATTAATCAAACTCAAGTGACTGATGTATGGAAAAAGAATGACAATTCTCTACGTAAAAATGAGAGCTATCAATGCCCAGGGGCTTGGACATTCACATCTTCCAAGTGGTACGTTCTCTCCCTGTAGACATGCTAAATTAGAAGCTAAATTGTAATCAAAAGTCTGCGTGGGGTTGTGGAATCAGAACAAGAGAGTTATTGTAGTTTAATAATTGAAATGTTTAGTAGCATTCAATTGGGCAGATGTTTCTACTTTAAAATTAAATACATACGTCTATATTTTTATATATATCTGTATATATGAATGCACAGGTGAGGCCTTGAGCCAAGGGACACATTCTTTGGCACTGTTTAATTGAAATTTTGTAGTGATAGAAATATTCTCTATCTGTGCTGTCTAATAAGGTAGCTGCTAGTTATATGAAGCTGTTAAGCACTTGAAATGTAGGTAGTGTACTCAAGGAGATGACTTTTAATTTTATTTGATGTTGGATAGTTTAGATTTACATTTCAATGGCAACGTGTGACTAGTGGCTAGTGTATTAGATAGCACAGCCCTAGACAGGGATGGATGGGCATTGCTGCAGTTACCTACTTACATTTTTCTCTCCCTCATTGCTGATCACCACTACCTTTCTTTTGCTCAAGACTTAATTCTTCTTTATTAGATGTATAAATTAATGCATTCTGGTAACTTTCAAGTTTTGTTGGCCTGGGATCAATCCTGTCTTCTGCAGATAACCACTTATCTTTGCCCTAATGCTTTATGTATTGATTTTATAGTTCATTTCTCAGAGTCAGATTTCTTTTCAGTATATCCGATTTCCTAAGGAGCAACTGCTGTGGGCTGAAGTAGTGTCAATAGCTATAAATTACCTAAGAGCTGTCAAGAAAACCAGATAATGACACACACAACCAAAAATTTTGAAAATATGTTATTTCTCTTACCCAGTTTCTACGAATGACTACATAAAGTAGTAAACAGACTGCTAAGAAAGCAAAAGTAGTTTTTCATAGATTCAGCTTAACAAAGGAAGGAACATTGAGAAGTCTTTTATTAAAAAAAACAAATCGAACTCCTATGATATGCCAGGCCTATTGGGCAGAAGCAGAGAAATAAACAAAGTCTTTGTCCTCATGGATTACATTCTGCGGTAAGAAACAGGCCATGCTCATGAACAAATGAAGAAGGTAACTTCAGAAAGTAACATAAAGAAAATAAACACTGTAAGAAGATAGACAATGACAGGTGGGCTTTAGATAGGGGGAAGTGAAGACCTTTTTTAAGAGATGACTTGATAACATCCATGATGAGAAGGAAGCAGCCATGTGAATATTTGGGGGAAATAATATTTCAAGAAGAGAGGAGGGTACGTGCAAAGACCCAGGGACACGTTCTGAAAACAGAATGAAGCCCAATGTGGTTGGAGCACAGTGAGTGAGATGAAGAATTGCTGGAAATAGGGTCAGAAAAGCAGGAGACAAGATAAGGCCAAGTTTTAGTTTTTAAGTTCCAAATGCAATGATAGATCATTTAAGAGGAAGAACAATGTGATCTAAGTTTAGCTTTAAATATCTTGTTCTAGTTGCTCTGGGAAAAAAAGATTATTGGTGAAGTAAGAGTAGAAGGTCGTCAATCCCATGCCTTTTTTCAAGAAATGATAGGACATAAACTGTCTAAGAAGGCAGGTGTCAATGCTAGAAAAACTATTTAACTTGGAGCCTTGAGTCTCGGGAATTTGGTCTTTACTCTTTAATTTACTGGTTATGTGACCTTAGACAAACCACTACGTTTTTCCCTGTTTCAATTTTCTCACAAGGTTGTTGTACATTTCAAAGGAGAAAATGGGCATGAGTGTGCTTAATGAAGTGTGCAGGCTGTATGCAAAAATGAAGTCTTTGTTCTTTAGAAATGCCTCAACCTCACGTTACTTCACAAACCCTCTTGCAAAGTTCTCGCTAGGTTCTCTAATTCACAGAGAATGCACTTTGTTTTCCAGGCTGTGTGGATACCAAAGAGGCTGATATCCATTTCCTCATTGATGGCTCAAGCAGCATCCAGGAGAAAGAGTTTGAGCAAATCAAGAGATTTATGTTGGAAGTGACAGAGATGTTTAGCATTGGCCCAGACAAAGTCCGAGTTGGAGTTGTGCAGTATTCAGATAATACAGAAGTAGAATTTTATATCAGTGACTATTCTAATGACATTGGCTTAAGAAAGGCTATTTTTAACATTAAGCAACTAACTGGCAGAACTTATACTGGGAAAGCTCTGGATTACATACTACAAATAATAAAAAATGGAAGTAAGGATAGAATGAGCAAGGTTCCCTGTTACCTCATTGTGTTGACTGATGGGATGTCCATGGACAGAGTCGTGGAACCTGCTAAGAGACTAAGGGCTGAGCAAATCACCATTCACGCAGTTGGCATTGGGGCAGCTAATAAAATAGAACTGCAAGAAATTGCTGGGAAAGAAGAAAGGGTTAGCTTTGGGCAGAACTTTGATGCTTTGAAAAGCATAAAAAATGAAGTTGTTCGTGAAATCTGCACTGAAAAAGGTAAGCAAAACAAAAAAGCTTTATTCTCCACATTTCATCAATTGCTTTAGGCAGATTAATGGCTAAATTAAGGCTGAGACAAGGCCTGATGTGACTAGCTGTCTGCATAACATTTTGCTAGCTTCCTTTATCACCATGGAGCGATTCAGCCCCTCACTTTTAAACTAAATGCCAAGACTGGAGAATCCCTCTATAAACAGTTGCCCCAAGGCCATCTTGGAAGTCATAAGTGGGAAAATTGCTAAGAATGTTGGGGCCTTGACAAAGCCCACTACTGTGAAGTGAAAAAGATTCTATTCTGCATGTGAGGTGTGTGTGTGTTTATGTATGTGCATACACAGATGAGTACAGGGGAAGTACAGTGTTTGTGTGTGCACAGTTGGGTACAGTGGAAGGAAAATGGACTTTGGCTCTAGATAGCTTAGGGTTTGTCTCACATACTTCCACTTGAGCCTGGAACATTGTCATTTATAAAATAAGGATAATGCCTACATCAAAGAATCTTTATAGGTTGAGCACCATAAATGCCAACCATTATTTTTATATTAAATGCATATCAAGTATATATGTAATAATTGTTCATTTTTATTTATAACAAAAACACATATTTGCATTTTTGTTCTAATTAGAGATTAAGTACCAAAATTAGGAGAAACAATTTGCAAATTTCCATATCTCGTTGTTTGTTATTTCTATTATTAATAATGGCCACTTACACCGCTTATTAGTTAAGATGGTATGTGTTGATTGCTGGTATTAGCACATGAAAATATTGCCTGCTGAGAAGCACATTAATTTACTGGTAAAGAGGAAAGATGCTAGAGTCAGAGTCAAGGTTCACACTCTAGCTTTATCACTGATTAGCCATGACCTTGAATAAATTACTGTCTACTTGCCTTGGTTTCCTTGTTTGTAGGCTTATTGTGAAGCTTAATGGTGATAACACACATGGAGCAGTTAGAGGAGTGCCTGGAACATAGTAAGCACTACACAACAGTTAGCTGTTGCAGAAAGTGGTTAAGGTGTTCATCGATGAGGAAAGGAAGAGAATTCTCACTTATTTGAACTTACTAAAGTGAAAACGTGTTTGAATTTTCTCTGAGCCACTAAAAAACAAAAATAAAAAATAAGTAAGCAAATAAATAGCATTAATAACAAAATCCTAAGTAAGTAACAACTTTGTTCATTTTTCTCCCTGTTATGGACAGTAACAGAGTTGGATCTTTAGGATGTCTTAGAAAGAGTGCAAGAATAAAAGATTCCCCAGTGTTTCCTGGAGTTGATGCTAAGAAAAGTAAAAGGATTCGAGGAAGCATAAAGTAGGTTGTATCTCAGATCCTTTCAAGGGAGAAGGTCCTGGATGAATCTAGGGAGGTACAGTATATCCTTTGCACTTCAGGTAGTTGCAGTTGAAGTAGTCAAACTGAGCACTATGATGCCTGGAGGAGAAGATAAGTTGTGGACAAGGAAATGAGTCATAAAATGGCTATCAGAGAAGCAGGAAAACAAAGGAACCAAAGCTTCCAGAGCTAGAAAAACACTAACGAGTCTCAGAGCAGATGCAGATGGAGTGAGGCACAGTGTATTAATAGGGTGCAGGTTAAGCTGCAATAGCGAAAAGACCCCAGATTACACAGCACAGAATATTATTTTTCTCTTACATCATAGTTTAGGGTGAATAGTCCAGGTCTAGTAGAGAGGCTATTCCATCCTCAACACATAGCTTCCATCTTTAGGTCAAAACTGAAGATCCAGTTCTTATCACCTCCTGTCCATGGAAAGGGAGAAAGGACCAAGGGAGCCTACCACGCTCAACTGTTTTAACGTAAGACCCAGAAGTGGCCAGATCACTTTTGCTCATACCTTTTGGTTAAAACTTAGACACAATGCCACAGCTAGCTTCAAAGCAGGCTGGGAAATACAATCTTTAGATGGGCAATCATCTGCCTATCTAAAATTTTATTAACATAGAAGAATGGAAAGATAGATATTCAGGGACATGAAGTAGTTTCTGTCACAAATAGATACCAGGAGGTAGATCCTGTGAATACTAAACTGTATGTAAAAGCCTATTTCTTTTATATGTGTTACATGGAAGGGAATCTTCCACACTTCACCACAGTGGTCAAGGCCACTCTATCAAGGCCACAAACATCTTCAGCAATTTCTCCTCTCATGACTTTCAAGATGGTTCTGAGGCAGCTTGAATCTTAAAACAGTGGTGTAGTCCTCCTGGTGGATCAGAATGTGACCTTACACTTTATTAAGTAATAGTTAACATCTTTTCATTTTTTAAATATATGGCTGATGCTGTGTTTATTTTCAGGAAGTATGGGATAGACTTCAGAGTGTTGAGGGAGAAACTGTAAGAGGAAGGCAGAGATTACAGGTAGAAAAAGAGATTAAGACTAAAAAGATGTATGCTAAAGATAATATATTTACATATATATATGCAAAACATATGTATCATGAATTAATACTGTTTTTAATAGATTATAGAAATTGGTTTTATATATGTACATATGTCTATATTATATATAGGACAATGAATGTACATACATTTGTGTGTATATATCTGTGTGTATATATATACATATGTATATGTTCATTTCCAATCAGGCTGTCTAAAGTTTATGTATAAAGGAACAGTCCATGTTGAATGAGTATGTGCTTACTGAAGCACTTATCTCTAGTAAAAACTTTTTCTTCAATTTCTAATATTGATTTATAGTGTTTATGAAATCACTTAGAATTATCCCAGAAAATAATGCCGTTTAAAAATTATTTGAAATTGTGTTTCTCCAGAATATACATAAAACCCTGGAGTGTTAGTACTATGAGTGCAAGGAATTGATTGCTTTGGCTCTGGTTCCTTTTTTGTATCACTACTGCATCCTTAACACATGGCTGGATGCTTGGCATTTTACACACCTCAAAATTATGAATGAATTAATTAAATATGAATAAATGAGTTATGCATGCATGCATGAATGAATAAATACACATTTTGGAAGTTGCATTTCTGCTTCAGGGTTCTAGTCAACCAGCTTCTACTAAAGAAGCAAATACAATTTTCAAACGTAACAACAGTTGCTTGAGTTAACTTTCAATGTTTTCTCATTAATGCATTTGTTTCTGCCTTAATGCCACTTTGTGAGAACCATTCCAACCTGGTTATTTCTGATCCTTTTTTTTTTTTTGTAACATGCAGGATGTGAAGACATGAAGGCTGACATCATGTTTCTGGTGGACAGTTCTTGGAGTATAGGAAATGAAAATTTTAGGAAAATGAAAATCTTCATGAAAAACCTGTTAACTAAGATTCAAATTGGTGCAGACAAAACCCAGATTGGCGTTGTTCAGTTCAGTGATACAACTAAGGAAGAGTTCCAGCTCAATAGATACTTTACACGGCAAGAAATTTCTGATGCAATAGATAGAATGTCTCTCATCAATAAAGGCACTTTAACTGGAAAGGCACTAAATTTTGTAGGTCAATACTTCACCCACTCCAAGGGGGCCCGTTTGGGGGCCAAAAAGTTTCTCATCCTCATCACAGATGGAGTAGCTCGGGATGATGTGAGAGATCCTGCTAGAATTCTTCGGGGCAAAGATGTGACCATCTTCTCTGTAGGAGTATACAATGCCAATAGATCTCAGCTAGAAGAGATCAGTGGGGATGGCAGCCTAGTTTTTCACGTTGAGAACTTCGATCATCTGAAGGCACTAGAAAGGAAACTTGTCTTTCGTGTGTGTGCTCTCCATGGTAAGTGCCCCTGTTATCTGTCAGGACTCAAGGATGTGAGCTGTTGACTTTATAATGAGAAATAGTATATGGCACTCTGGCCCTGGCCTCCACCTGGACTTAAATGTTAAGTTTTAGTCTTCTTTATGTTATATTAAAATGCCTGTGACCTCCAGGGATGTTTCAGACTAACAATTTTGGCATCTAGTTTGGTACAAGTTAGTATGGCATTGGTGACTTCAAGTATATTCCAAAAAGATCCCAGAATTTTACTTTAAACTTCCAAATGTTTAATACCCACACACCTGGATTTTCCAGAGCCAGTTTTGAATCCCAAATTATTTTCTAGAATTGTTTCTTGGCTATCTATAGCCATTGTTAAGCAGAAAATAACTAGAAATACAATTTCGTCTTTCTTTTAGTTAAATTTTATCTAGTATCCTAAGCACCACCCACCAAGAAAACCCTGGGTACTTTAAAGATAGTTTATTTTCATTACTTCACATTATTATTCTTAACCTCTATCAACTGGATATTTTATATTTGTCTGTTCATGTATCCATCCCTTTGGAAAATTGTAATTTGTCACTTTTCTGATTACTTGGGGTCATCATTTTATTCTTACAAATTGTAGTGCTTTTAAAATTGTACTGCACAACCTTCAGTTTGAGCCTATCAATTTTAATGTCTTTTGAATGAGAGTTTTCTCTCAATCCACACATAGACTAAAACACCTATGTTTTAAAATCTATCATGTGCTATTTTCTGTGTTTTGGATACAACTAAGAAAACAAACCAGAGTAAGTTTGTTTTGTGTTGTTCCTCTGGCAACATAGAGATTTTCATTGGACTTTATTCATCAAAATTGTGCATGTGGAATTTCCAGAAACTTAACAAAATGTCTTATAAACACGTAAGTGTTAGGTGATAGTTCTAAAGTTTCCTTGGTAACCGCTTAATTGGAATTTTTTTCTTCCCCCAAAGGTGGCAGTGATTCCAAAACTCTTGATAATGTTGGGAGGTGTACCTAAAGGCTATAGCTTCAACTTTGAAACCTGCAAGGCTCTTCTTGGCATTTCTTCATTTTGATTAATGTAAATGTGGAGGCCTTGTCTACAGCATAACCTGAAATTCATCTGACTCATGCATTAGATTGTCTCCTAAGTATCAGGTCATGGCTAGTCACCAGTTCTGAGTGGGTCATTGACCAAGGGTTTTACAGATACAACCTGGGGATATTCACAGTATCAGAAACTTAAAAAATTTGAGACTTTATTATTAGAAATAAGAGTTGACAATTAGCTAGGCAGGTGGAAAGTGGAGAAAGCAAATCTTTGGAATACATGCGCGTAAGTTATTGAGGGAAGGAAAAGAGTGGGGAAAGAGTCCACACGTTGGAAAGCCAGCCAAAACAGTCACTTGTCTTATAATGTGGAGGAGGGTTTGGGGTCAGGGAAGAAGTGATAGGAGTTTTTGCTCTCCTTCTACTTGGGGCCAATCCTTTCTGAGTTCTAATTCAAAACGTCAGGGAGAAAAGCATAAATAACTGCAGAGAGACATGATACACAGGGATGGTTTGCATACCCGAGGGTCCAAAGGTACCTGGAGCCAGAGGGAGTAGGGTAAAACCACCAAGTTATACAGTGAGCTCCTGAGCTTTCCACAATAGCAGGTCAGTTTGGCAAACATCAGTATGTCTTACCATTACATTGACATTGAACTAGCTTCTAACATTGCCTTTCAGTTGAAAGCCTGCTTAGTAAAAGACGTTACATGTCCTAATGAGATATAGCAAAATAGAGTGGTGTGGCATAAGGACCACTGATCCTGGAGTGATATAGATAGGGTACAAATGTCCTTGGAGTCATGACATAGGCAAGTTGCACTTCTCTGAGCCTTGGCCTTTTTTTTTTCTATAAAATGGCAGCAGCCACCTCTAAGAACTAAGTAAGATGTAGTGTCTGACACATAGTAGACTCACGGCAAATGCTAGTTCGCTTCCCTTCTCAGCACCCTGCGTAGAATGCACTGCGGAAAGTTTGTGACTCCTGTTTTCGTCTTCTTTCAGATTGTAAAAGGATTACAGGACTAGACGTTGTGTTTGTGCTGGATCATTCAGGTAGTATAAAAAAACAATATCAAGATCACATGATTAACCTAACTATCCATCTGGTGAAGAAAGCAGATGTTGGCAGAAACGGAGTTCAGTTTGGAGCCCTCAAATACTCTGACCAACCTAACATCCTTTTCTACCTTAATACGTACTCGAACAGATCAGCAATAATTGAAAATCTGAGGATGCGCAGGGACACTGGAGGGAGCACCTACACTGCCAAGGCTCTCAAGCATGCAAATGCCCTGTTTACAGAGGAGCATGGCAGCCGCATCAAGGAAAATGTGAAGCAGATGCTGATTGTCATCACTGATGGGAAATCTCATGACCATGATCAGCTCAATGACACAGCATCAGAACTGAGAGACAAGGGCATCACCATCCTTGCAGTGGGTGTAGGAAAGGCCAACCAAAAGGAACTTGAGGGTATGGCAGGGAATAAAAACAATACTATCTATGTAGATAATTTTGATAAACTGAAAGATGTTTTCACACTTGTTCAAGAAAGTATGTGTACTGAAGCACCAGAAGGTAAGTTGTTACTTTTAAAGTTTCTATGGGGGTAGCAATAAAAATTTAAACAGAAAATAAATCATAAGTCTCAGGTCTCCGATTGCCTGGATGTTATGGACTGAATATTTCTCTGCTCAGGCTATCAGTTTTCTCATCTCTAAAAGAAATGGGTTGATTGAACAAGATCCCAAAGATTCCTTCCCACCACAGCATGCACTGAAGAGATTATACAGGAAAGTTCCAGATGCATTCCCTGGCATTTTGCTATTCTGTTGCCTTTTTCTGGCGGAAAGAAATTCTTTTTAGGGTCGTATTCACCTTACCCCATGTAATGGCTGCTTATCGTGCTCCATTTGGTTAATGGTCTCAGTGCAGCCACTGGACATCAGTTTCAGGCCAAACTTAAGTGGAAAGTTTCATGGTTTAAATGGATAGACTTTTGTCTTCAAAGATCCAGGCCCTCTAAATGGGATCATAGGCATTCTAGAGAGACATCAAAATTCAAGTGGTCTGGTGTGCTTTTCTGTGTAGGTGCCACCAGTATAGAGGGCAGGATATGAGAGTTGAATGTGGGGTAATGGAAGCTGGCTGAGAAACAGGGAGGGAAGGGAACTGAGATGATTACCAGCTACCACCGAAGTTGGTAGGCTGGTGACATCACATTTGAGTGAGGACAGGGTGAGATTTGCCACTTGTGGTCTCAAAAGCAGTAGAGACTGATAAGTAACCCAGGAAGGGCTGCTGTGCCTAATTGGAAGGTCCGAATTCTTGTGATTTGTGTATTGACCCAGTCCTCCCAATGTGGCAAATGAAATAACCAACTTTTGAATTTCCTTTCTTCTTTGCTTCCTTCCTCCCTCCTTTCTCTCATTTCTTTCCTCCTTTATTCCTTCCTTTCTACCGACGAGAAGCTCACTTTTGTAACTAATATAAATCATGTTTCTAAAACTGACATTAACCCACTTCCATATTTGTAACTTGTCCAACTCCAGACAAAACCTTCCCTCAAATCCTGTGTCAGATCAGCATTTGCTTGGCTAAATAAAACTATGCCTGACCACCATAGCTTTACCTTACTTAAGTAAGCAATTAATTCATCTTCTTGGTTTCAGATATTGAATGATGGTATCATCTTTACCCAAGGAAAATTATGATTTTTCCCAAGGCAGCAGGACCACCCCAGTTCTTCTGCCCATTCCATCCTCTCCCTGGACTCTCACCGTGAAGCGTAGGCTCCCCTCCCTCATTCCTGACACCTGCCAGTCCACTTAACACTGAGTGTTCTTTCTCCTACACACTGGATGCGGTCACTCTTCTGCTTACAGTTTTTTTTTTTTTGGAGGCCTCCCTGTGCCCTTGGAACAATTTCCAAACTCCTGAGCTCTATCTAGCCCCTGCCCACCTCTGCACGCTCATTGATCACCCCTCCCCTCTTCAAATCTACCCTGTCCTTCTGAAATTCCTCCACGTCTTTGTGCACACTATCCTGCCCACCATGACCACTCCAGCCCACCACTGTGCCTGCCTACATCTCACTTTTCTGTCAAGTTTCAGTGTTTGTGTGCTAGTTTCCTGGCCCAAACCTGACCTCATGTCCCCACTGTATCCCCCAACTCTCACACCTTCTATTTTCCAAGTGGTAGCAATTGACACATATTTGCTGTTTTCCTACCTGTATCTGTCACAAGACTACAAGCTCTGCAGGCAGGCTTAATCTCATTTGTTTGGGGTGTCCTCCAAATCTAGTACATTACTAAGACTTCAGTCTTTTCCTAGGAGTGTGAAGGCTGTTTTATTCTCATTTCCCATGCCTACATTTTTGAGGTAGTGCTGAGATGGAGTTTGGGATGCAAGATGTTTATTAGGAATCCACACCTGTAAAATAAATGGGGAAAGCAAGATGGACCAAATAACTCAAAATAGTGACATAGGCTAAACAAAGCTCCAAACCTAGCAGAGAGCTCTGAAGCAAATATCGCCCATGAGAGCTGTCCAGCATCAGCCTGAAACGGCTGGGACTAAGGGAGAACTCCCTTCCCACTTAGTGCCTGGACGTGATGGCCCTAAGAAGGGCATGACCTTTGGCAAGGCATCTCTCTATAGTGAGACAGACCCTGAAAGTGCTGACAGTTGGAAGCTGTCTACTGCCTGCCCATACTCCCATAGCTGGGAAGTAAGTTCTTCCTTGCAGGTCTATCCGGGCAGCCTGTCTTTGTGTCTGCCACACCACACTTACAAGGAATTGTGTGACCATGAGTAACCTACTGTCTCAATTACCTTTAGTAATCACCATAGTGCTGCTCCTACCACAGCCATTGAGTTTTGTTGGAAATGAGTATAGAAATGTCCCTTCGATTTTGGGACATTTCAGATTGGACTTCAGGGAGCTGACCGTATGCTCTATTTACTGGCCATTCACACTTCCTCTGAGAAATTCTAATATTTGAGTCATGGTATTTTTAAAAAGCATTGCACTAGAAAAAAGTGCTAAATTTAAGGGTAAAAAGGATCTAGAGGTCCAGATACCAGCTCCACTCCATAGTAACTGTATGCTCTTATATGAATCACTTAACCTCTAAGTTCTATTTCTATATTTATAAAATTAGAATAATTAGTCGTAAGGTGGTTGTGAATATTAATGTTGTTATTATGTGCCAAAAGCATTTTTAAAATGCTACTCCTCAATATGGATGTAAAGTGATAACATGAATAGTAATAGGAGTACTAATAATAGTACAGTAAGTAAGTACTATTATCTTGATAGGGTAAATGTCCCAATCTTGGTGTTTTGAAGGGATGTCTAGCCTTTGTAATAACCTTTTAATGAGTACATGAAATTTATTCAAACTTCTTACTTTCTTTCTCTGATTAGCTTTCAGTGTCTTTTCAAATGGATTGTATAAATAATTAAACTTTGAAAAAACTCTCTAATCTTTCCTCCTCTTGCTATTTTTTCTTCTTTTTGAGGATCAATCAGTGATTCTTTCTCTTGTTAACTTATCTCAATTTGCTAATGTAAAGCAATTGAAGTATTTAGCAAAGTAATTTAAGTATATGAGGAAAGGAAAAATTTAGAATGATTCATGAGGAAAATAATTTATTCTTTTTTCTATTGCAGTCTGTAGTCTTCAGAAAGCTGATGTGATTTTCCTTTGCGATGGCTCTGACAGGGTATCTAATTCAGATTTTGTTACCATGACAACCTTCTTGTCAGACTTAATTGATAATTTTGACATTCAATCTCAAAGAATGAAAATTGGTATGGCTCAATTTGGAAGCAACTACCAGAGTATTATTGAGTTGAAAAACTCTCTGACTAAAACCCAGTGGAAGAATCAAATTCAGAATGTCTCCAAGAGCAGTGGGTTTCCGAGAATTGACTTTGCCCTTAAAAAAGTGAGAAACATGTTTAATTTATATGCTGGTGGGAGAAGAAATGCTGGTGTCCCCCAAACTTTGGTTGTTATCACATCTGGAGATCCTCACTATAATGTGGCAGGTGCAGTAAAAACCCTGAAGGACCTTGGAATTTGTGTCCTGGTTTTGGGCATAGGAGATGTTTCTAAGGAATGGCTTCTGCCAATAACAGGCAATTCTGAAAAAATAATCACTTTTCAAGACTTTGATAAGTTAAAGAATGTGGACGTGAGAAAAAGGATCGTCCGTGAAATTTGCCAGAGCTGCGGGAAAACCAGTAAGTGCTCCTTGTTTGGTTTTCTTCCATGGAAAACTCATTTCTCCATTTCCCAAGTGTGTCTAATGGGCTAGCTCTAGCAGAGCATATATTTAGAACATATATTTAATGAGAATATCTCACTTATGGTGCAGTGATAAGAGACTTCTCTGCTTCCAGGAAGTTTGGATAACTCAGCCTCCCTCAAAGACAAGGAAAGAGTGCAGAGGCTAGAGGGGACCCCTGGACTGTGTCCTCTGGTCAGCCCTGTTCCCTCACGGCAATCCAGTGTTTATTCTCCTCTTAGCACCTGGATCTCTGTCTCCTATTTCTGTCCTAGTAAATGCCCTGCATCAGCAGGAAGTAAGTAAAATAAACATTTGCTGATTGGAAGTTTTACTATTGTACCTTTGTTAAACCATCTTGTAAGGGACTCGTGTGTGTGTGTGTGTGCGTACAGTGTATTTTTCTTCTTTTAATGATTACATTCATATAATCATAGCCTACTAATGATCTGAATTGTCCTCAGAGGTTATTTAAGCCAGAGGTCACAAAGGCACATGGCTGCAAAGACCAGGTGGGTAATGGAGATGAGTCAAGTGAGTAGAGTATGAGGACAGTGAACTGGAAAACAATGATGCATCTCACAGGAATGCCACCGTTCAGCTCCAGCTGAGATTGGCCACGGGGGACTCAGATTCTCTAAATTTGAGGCTAGGAGTTGGGAGGACAGCATGTAAGGAAGCAGTAGCGAATGATTCCGGTTTGTGGAATTTGCACAACATGCAGAAATTCCTTAGAGTTCTTATGTTTCTAGAGTTGTTATAATTGAAGTCACTTCTTTAACAAAATGTGTTAGTCTTTTCAAACTCTCCATATCTTATATGTCCCATTTGTGGTGCTCAAGTGGAGGCAGATTACAGTGGTGGAAAGAGCCCTGGTCCTGGAATCAGAAAGCCAGAGTTCTAACTCTGGTTCAGTGGCAGCAACCTCCGCACATCACTGTTTCCTCATCTGTAAAATGAGCACCTGGGCAGGATCAGAGTAACCAAATGGTAGCTTGCAGTTGCAGTTTGTTTATCGCATCCAGTGTTGATGAGTTGCTAAATTAGTTGACAGCATTCACACTGAAGGTTCTACATTAAAAATGTAGACATCAGGCTCCTCTTTGAAAAATCAGAATATCTGACAACACTAGGCCCCATTTCCCACATAGCTACTCTCAGCTGGAACTGAACAGTGAACAGACCCAGAAATGGGTCATTGTTCTCTAGTTTATTTTCCTCACACTCTGCCCACTTGAATCATCTATCTTATCTACCTGCATTTGCAGCCATCTGTGTTTGTGATCTCTAAAACTTAAATAATCTGAAAAGACAGCTCAAAACTTTAATGTATTCTGATTATATGAATTAAAATATGTCACCATTAAAATGCATGCCCACATGCGTGGCACACACACACACAACAGAGTCACTGAGGATGAGACTAAACTATGGTTTGAACTTCAAATAGCTATTGAAAGTTTTAATATTTTAAGGGGGACAGAGAAAACCCCTGTGATATATGTTAGTATCACATATATATATGTGATATACATCCACACTCATATATGTTAGTAATCATATATATTGTTGAATACATCACACATATATGTATATGATAAGAGCAGTCAGTACTTCTTTCTTGAAACACTTTTTGGAGGACTAAGACCCTCTAGCTCTGGGGTTAGGACAGTGCTCCTTCTTCTGCCCTGTCTCTCCTTCCTTACTCCTGTCTACTCATTAATCTTGACCCTGTTCCCTTGATTTCCGATTGCTTTATGGACATAGTGGTTGGGTTCGACATATCCACTATGTGCAAGGGCAGCCTTTGTTCCAGGGGCCACCCCCAGCTGGAATCCTACCTCCCAGGCATCTTAGAAAGACATCAGCTCTATCAGGGGGTGAGCTGTGGGGCTGGCACAGAGGTGCAGGTGAGTTTGGCGTTTAAGGTGAACAATGACCAAGAATTCCCTGCAAGTTCCAGATCTATCAGAAGCAGTGTTTGACAGCTTGCTGCAAGTCAACGTCACTGGCCAACTCATCTGAATGCACAGTTCTTGCGGTCTCTTTGGACACATTTAAGAATAAATCTGCATCCCGGGGGCCGGTATCCATATTACATCTATTTTTTCCCATCTCCTATTCTTTCCTTTTTTCTTCATTCCCAATTATATATTTGCTTTTACACCACACCATTTTCTTATTTCTCTAGGTGCTGCTTATTTTTTCAGACGTCTCCAGAGTGAAAGCAAATAATGCTTGGAAACAATCAGAACAGGCTCAGAGAAGCAGGTATTGAGTAGAATTTTTTTGTTTGTTTGTTTTGGAGATGGAGTCTTGGTCTGTCGCCCAGGCTGGAGTGCAGTGGCACAATCTCAGCTCACTGCAAGCTCCACCCTCCCGTGTTCACGCCATTCTCCTGCCTCAACCCGAGTAGCTGGGATACAGGCGCCTGGCTAATTTTTGTATTTTTAGTAGAGATGGGGGTTTCACTGTGTTAGCCAGGGTGGTTCTTGATCTCCTGACCTCATGATCCGCCCAACTCGGCCTCCCAAAGTGCTGGGATTACAGGCATGAGCCACCGCACCTGGCCAAGTTGAAAATTTAAACAGTGAAGCATGGAATATGCTTAACAAGTCTCTACCTTTACTCAGATGCTGTAGATGTTGAGATCTGCCTGGCTACTTGTAGCAGAGGCTGTTGATACCTCGTCTAATCCCCTTGTGACCAGCCCTCGCACTCCTCCCCAAAGTGCTGCAAATGCTATGGCCAAGTGCTTAGACTTATGACCTTCTATACAGACATATGCCCTTGATTGACCTGAACCATATACCTGGGCATGCTTGGAATGGGTGTGGGGTTACCATGCCCCACGTTGGTGGTGGGCGGGGGGCAACTATGATATAGGGATACAAAAACCTGGCACTGTTGCTCAAATGGATCAACTCTAGTACAATTTGCACTCCAGAGTCCCTCATGAATCAGGCAAAGGCTAAGACTTTATTGAGATGTATTCCTAGTTACATCTCCTTCCCTTTCCTGGTCTCTCTCTCAATACAGATACCACATACATACAAAATCCTCTCTCAGATTCCAGTTCTAGAGAACCTGACCCAAGACAGCTCCTACTGTTTCTTATTTTCCATATGAAAGAGGTGAACAATGACCAAGAATTCCCTGCCAAGTTCCAGATCTATCAGAAAGCAGTGTTTGACAGCTTGCTGCAAGTCAACGTCACTGGGCCAACTCATCTGAATGCACAGTTCTTGC